TAACTCAAACTCAAGAACCAACGATGTCAAAAACACCAACGCACATAATCATATTTGTGCACAACTCACTAAAATCAAAATTTACACTCGTAAACCATTATAGATATTTATCGTGTAAACAAGATGAATTCATGAACTTATGGCTGTTGAAATGGATATTTCTCTTTTTAACTAATGCCATTGTTTATAAAAATGTCCAGAGACATATTTTCACTCTAACAGAGACGTGGCTAACACTGAATATCTACGAAGAAATGAAAGCCGATAGCTTTACATTTTTGAGGAGCAACTCAAACCGAGGCTGCGTCGGTGGTGTAGCTATCTACTTAAGCCACCCTCTCGCTCTAGCCATCTTAGTTACTCAGGATCCCATTCCCATGATTGACAGCCTATGGGAAAGTATATCTCTCCCCAACAGAGATTCCCTGCTACCACGAGTCCTCTATCGCTCCCCAACCAGCAAACAGACACAGGCACATGCTCCTCTAAATCAACTTTGCTGTCTTTGGTCTTACTGTCCTTCTACATATGTCCTTATGACCGGAGGACACTGCCTCATGTTCACGTTTTCTTGTGCTTTGAGGTAGAAATCTGATTTTATTAGCCTGAATCAGATAGAAAGTCGTTGAAAAGCTAATACGATACATTTATGGAAAAAACAGATGAAGAAATCAGCCAAACATCATCATCACTCATTGTAGTAGAATGAGAGAAAAAGGTAGGAGACAGATGTCACTTCAAGCAGGATTGGAGACACTAGATGTAAACATGAAGTCGGAACTCCTGGGACTCCGAAAAGCCATCAATGCCAGAAACGTTAGTCTGTTAGGGAGCAGGAAAGAGATGGCTAGCAAGGCATCCCGGATGAAACATCTGGGGAGTGAAACTGGCATTGCAGTGGGCAGACAGCGCAATGTAGCAATCTAAGGATTAACGTGGCCCCTATGTAATAGTGCCAGGTTGAGACAAAGGAACCTGAGACATTGGGTTTCCAACCTCCTCAGAAAGTTGGGACTCCCGGCCCACGAACGGAGTACAAGAATCTTCAGGCCCGAGAAATGGTCTAACCAGTAGGCAGGCAAGGCCCTGAGCACCGGCCGTTCTTGTTTAGTTTGGTAACCAGAGAGTCCGGGATGCAAATCCGGCGGAGGAGGTCAGAATGAGGAACGGGAAGGTATACGTAGAATCAATCAAAGCCTCTCAGTATGACGACTTCGCCGATAAGCAACACCGAACATTGGAGCCAATAAAGTCTCCCGGGGCAAATAACCATGGATTGAGCTACGTAGATTACAGTATCCACCTTCGTCGCAAGCTGCTCCTAACACCACATCCACTCCAAGATCTGGGACACCTTCAGTATCACTCACAGAACGCAGTCGAACTGCAGGAAGCTCAGGGTGTACGCCAATCAAATCGCACTTGAGTGACGCGTAGCCAAAACCGATACAATTCCCAAAACTAAACACAACTGATCCGTAATGTTCTACGGTACTGAATTAGCGAAATCATTGCAAAATATAAAATAAAGCAAACCTAAAATATGCGGCCAAATGCACTCAAACAAGTGAGCCAAATATGATGTCGAGAGAGAGACCAACAGTCGCACACGTTCTCTGACCACGCAAAATTAAAATGTGGTGGGCATCGAATCGACAGATATTTATAATGTATGGTATTTGTGATTGAGAAATGTCAATAGAGAAGCAACATATGGATAGAATTATGTTACATGAAATCATCGTGGGTTTCTAAGGATTTTCAAAAATATCAACATGAACTAAACAGCATTCACTCGAGTATGACGGACGACAATGCCTACAAATGCTCGAAAGAACAGGTCTAACTGTCAGAGCGCAAGCATACCTAGTCAGTAGGTGATTGGAAAAGAATTTTGGCCAGCGGTATCTCGTAGGGCATGTTAAGCCGTCACATTCAACGCGATTCCTCCGAGAACGAGGGCAAAAATTATGCTGGTGACAAAAAACAAGAGATTGTTCGGGCGGATTGGCCGAGTGCACTTAAAATACTCACTGTCCCAAACATTAGTCAGGAGCCTGGGTAGAGCGTTTATCGGCATTTTACACGAACGCCCATAGCTTCGGCAATAAGTGAAGAGAACTATGGGCTGAAGCTGCAGAAATAGGATGTACCTTAATTTCCGAGACATGAGACCATAACCTTTGAGAGCCTGCAACTCACCGAGTACTGTTCGTACAAGACCGACATGGGAAGCGGAAGGGGTGGAGAGGCGTATTGCTTCTTATTTAGGATACCCTAGAGCAGTCTGATGGACAGCGCGTGTCTATGTTAAATATCCAAGCAAGCTACTGCAACATAATAATAATAATAATAATAATAATAATAATAATAATGGGTGTATATTTCACGAGGCCCGTGAGACATGCCCAATGCATGATCATACATACGGTCCTCCACCCGTAAAGTAACGGTAGTGGGTGCCTACAGGGCAACATCTCTCCCGAGAAGGAAGCTGACCAATTCTGTGAATACCTAACGAGGGTGAATAAGCAGGCTGAGCGATTGCCCAACACGGTAAACTTCATTTCTCCAAAGGTAGACTGATAAATCCTGTGTGCCCCTCTTGCTGGTTTTCGAAGGAAATTAGTGCACCTAATGACTATTCTACCCTTGGCGCAGCTTATCAACCAACCCACTAGAGGAAAGAGAGGGAGAGGCAAATGCTTAGCGTGCTGGTTTTATTAATAACCAACCTGCTGCGTGATGTGGAACAGCTGAATATATCGGCTACCATAGAGAAAAGTGACCATGGCAGACTGAAGTTCCATATCACGGGAAACCCTCCTCTCATACCACATAAGCCCAGAATGGACTTCAGGAAGCTGGATGTACCGGCGGTCAGACTAGCAACAGAGGCAACTCGGTGGTCACCGAACAGCATTCTCTCCGGGGAGCCGGAGTGGAGGTTGTTTGAGGACCATATCACCAGGCTCACGGACAGTGTCGCTCCTCTAGGAAGTTTCAGAATAGGGGGTAGATCGCCCAGGTGGATAAAACCGGTGGTCAGGGCCTAAGCCAACAAACGAAAGGCATGGGCTAGCTTACGGAGCATGGGTGGATATTGATACCATTTGCACTACTCATCCACTAAAGAACGGAAATATGGAACTAGGATAGCACTCAATGCCAAACAGCACCCCAAAGTTTACTATAACTACGTGCAATCTAAATCCCACTCCGATGTTGTGGCTAGGAATGTTTTAAATGCAGAAGGCGTTAGTGCAGCAACCAACAAAGAGAAACCTGTAGTCCCGAAGAACTTCTTTGAGAAATTTCACACAAAGGACTTGGGTATGCCATTGTCGGCTCTATCGGGAAGCAACCCCGAACAGTCCATGGCAGTAATTGTCATAAAGGCGAAGGAGATGGAATTAGCACTGGGACACCTGGACCAGCACAAGGCCGCGGGTCCAACCGGGCTGCATCCAGCCATCTTGCGATCCCTAGCTGGCAGTGTGCACTGGCTTAAGTTTCCAATCGATCCCTTGCCTCAGCGACGCTACCGTTCGACTGGACCGCAGCAAAAGTGTTGCCAATCCATAATGATAGATCAAGATCAGCTGCTTCTAACTACCGACCAGTAAGCCTACTGTCAGTAATTCTGAAGACTTTCGAACGCCTTATTACGGAAACGTCGATAAGATTTCTGGACAAACAGTACATTACAACAGCCCAAGAACACGGATTTTTAAACAAAAGGTTACACCTCACAAACCTTCTGTCGTTTCTGGTTGAGGTGACAGGAAGGTTGGACGTAGAGAATCAAGTCGAAGATCGCTACCCTGATTTCAACAAATCCTTTGACTCGTTCAAACACAGGGTACTTCTACGCAACCTAGAAGCCCTATGGATAAATCACCAGGTGGTGAGGTGCATCGAAGCGTATCTACATGAAAGGACGGTCCGTGCCAAAATGGAACAGGAAACCTCGGAAACGGCAGCCGCCTATAGTGAGGCACCTCAGGGCTCAGTCCTTGTATGTACTATACGTTAACGAAATCAAGGAGCTCTTCAGGGCCCCGGGTTCCTATCGCGGATGACTTCAACCTAGTAGGGGATCAATCGAGGGCAATACAGGAGGCTCTAAATGCAATCCACGGCTAGGGAACAAATGGGAGCTCCCACTCAACGTTACTGAATTCAGGCAACTGCTAATCAACAGGGGAGTAGAGGAGGTGCATCACCTAGGCGATGGATAGAGGGATGCCACAGAACCCGCCGAAATGTTCAGGCATCGAGGTGTACGGATGAATGCATCCTCCAAGCCCTCAATGTAATGTATGGCAGCTGTAGTGGAGGCCAACAGAGCCTTTTTTCTTTTTTTCTCAGTAGTGGCCTTATGCACCCGGGTGGGTGTATTTTCAGCAGTTACACCATATTTGTGGATTCAGATTTACAAAATCATTACATAATGAAACTGGAAACAATGAGATGTTTGTCACTAAAGGAAGCCTTTGCGCAATTCTGTGGAAATTCTGTCCTTGTCTATAAGTAGACGTGCTAGATATGGCAGAACAGAATTACGATAAGCAGAGGTACGTGCGAATAAAAGTTTAAATCTTGAGCGTGTGGATGATTTAGATACAGTTTTTGAAAATTCGTTGTGCAATGGGTGGTGTATTTGAGTGTATTTTGACGGTGAAACGTTCGAATGCTTGTAGGCGTCTGTTTATGATGGAATCGGTAAGTTTATCCCTGAAAATGCCACTAAATTTAGAGATGTTTTTCAGAGATTTCGTCAGTAAATAAACGTCTTTCTCCAACATAACGGGAGAAATTACTGGAGAGCAATACAACCAGTGGGGTAGCACGCATGCATTCACAAATCTAACAATCAGCTTGTGGAGAACAAAAAGTAATCTCAATCGGAGTGAGAAAAATGAGTTTACTAACTTTACAGAATGTGTTTTGAACGTGCAGTGACCATGACAAATTGTGTGATGGGGTGACGCCAAGTTATTTTACTGTTTTTGATTTCGGTAGGGGTTGTTGATTTGCAGAGAGGGTGAGGAAGCTATCTGTAAGGGCTGAATATGGTACATCGGCCAAGAGGGAAAACACAACATCCTGACATGTAGGGGCATTCAATGAGAGGGAACGGGACAGGGACCAAGTGATAACGTCATTCAGCTTGCTTTGAATTTCGGAAGCCTCTTCTGGAGTGGATGCCATGCAGCCTATAACAACGTCATCAGTCAATGAATGCAGTAGGGATGGGAAATTGTTTGACACAGAGAAAAGAAATATGGGGAAAATATTGCACCTTACAGGACACCAGAAGAAACTGGGCGAGTGGAGGACATTTTGCCGTTGAGACATGTAAACTGCCTTCTATCTGTGAAATAATCACAGATCAGTCTGCTAACGTTTGAATTTACACCACTTTCAGTAACCACGTTGAGCAATACTGATAAATCAAAACTGTTGAATGTGTTTTTGTAGTTTACGAACACCATTCTGAAGGTCTTTCTTATCTAATGTCGAGATTATTGAATGAACAAGATATGCAACGGCATCTGTGATTGCGATATGCAGATTGATAAATGTCGTCTTCGTCAGACTCATTAGCAACCCGCGGTAATAAGCATCTCTCAAATAATTTGAGCATGACTGACGTGTAGGCAGTGGGACGATATTTCCCATGTTCTGCTTTGGAACGGGAGTTATCTTGGCCAGTCTCCAAATATTAGGACTTTTTCCACTTTTGAGACAGTCATTTAATATTTTTGACAATGGGGCTGAAAGGTGCCCGCACATACTTTGAGTACTACCGGTGATAGTTCATGAGGACCCAATGCTTTATTCAACTTAGTTTTCAGTAGCTGTTTCAGGACTGTGGCGGGTTCGATAGTTGGTGTTGACATAGAGTTGACTAAGTGTGGCAGAGCAGTGTACCGTGAAACTGGACTAAACTCAGAATTTAGTCTTTCAACGTTGATAGTTTCCTTTTTGTATTTACGGCTACTGCCACAAAATTTGTTCATAGCTCTCCACATGCCACGACAACTACAGTTTCCCAGGATAGTGTCGATGTACAGTTTGTTCAACCGATCTATTTCAGCTTTGATCGAAATTGTTAGTCGCTTGGCATGAACTATTTGTCCTTGTTTATAGGCTTGTTCTTTCCGCCTGCGTAGCTGCTTGAGTAGCGGTGATGAATATCTGTCTTTATCGATAAAGACCGCTTCTAATGAGCAACACTGGTTAAGGTAGTCTGTAACATGTTCACAGAGGACAGAACGGTTTTTATCAGGAAACACCGAAAAATCAGTGGCGTCAATCATGGATCTTCGCCTTTCTAGGTTCTCTGATGAACAATTTTTTTGACTCACTGTCTTTTAAGGCTTTCTTAACCATGTGTATCGGTTGGTTCTGCTGTATACAGTGGGACATAGTTTTAAGATACAATGATCTGAACTGCTCAGGGGAGCGCGTTTCTGGACTTTAAAAAATTGTGGTTTGTTTGCGAAAACGAAAACAAGCTGTCAATTCAGTCTGGTAGAAAAAGTACTAAATTTTGTAGACCCAGTGTGGTGAGGAATGTTACATCATGTCTGTTGAAATCACCAACGAAAATATACAAAAAGAGTCACTTATTTTTGATATCATGAAGGTCGAAAAAATATCAGAAAAGCTATTTTTGTTAGAAACTGATAATATGGGTGACAGGTAAAAGTTTCCAAGAAGGATGGAATGAAACC